TAGGGAAGGCTTCTCAGAAATAGTGTTTGAGCTGGGCTTTGAAGGATGAGTAAGAGTTCACCCTGGCAGAAGTGAGGTAGAAGAATATCCCAGGAGAATGACTCATGGGAGTGGAATGGCTTCGCAGCTTGGGAAGCCATATCCTGGAGCCAAGGGTAAGGCCCTAGCAGGATATGGGGGAGCCTGTGAATATCAGTAAGTAGGGGAAGGTAAGGACCTCACTCTGGAAATGGAGGAGGGTAGTAACGGGCACCAGGATTGTTGAGTGAGCACAGCAAGGCTAGATGTAAGCCAGGCAGCAGCAGGTGGGCTGCTTGGGAGGGCCAGGAGCAAGGTGGACAGACTTGGAGATCAATAGGCCTGGAGTCAGTGTGGGGCTGTCTCCGACTGGGAGAGTGAAGGTGTGTCGAGGGGGCAATAAAGCATCCAGACTGGGCCCTGGGTTTCTCATGGGGGGGAGGGGCATAAACCAGGTGGCTTTGCCAGTCAGCAGGCAGTAGCCTCTAATTTGAGAGTTCTAAGTTGAGGGGGACAAGCCCAGGTCTGGGATTCAAAGCCTTAGACTCCCATTCTGTATGCCTGCTCCCACCCTGGTGATTGATGACAAGCTACTTTGCCTCTCAGCATTTCAGGTGAGCATCTCTTAAGTGGGGCTGACCCAGAGGTACCTGGCCAGCTTATCTCCTCACCTGTAATGACTCCTAAGGCACAGGCCCCTGAGGCTAAGAGTAACAGGTGTGAGGGAGACCTACTTCACAGATAGCAGATGACCTCATCTTTACTGGAGTTGGAAAAGAAGTCACTAGAAGGTTGAGCTGGACTTGCCCTACTCTGGCCCACTGTAGAGACCAGGCTACAGGATTTGTTCACCAAGGCTAGAACCGAGACATCGGGTGACAAGCGGTGCTTAGAGCAGAGGACTGAGCTTGGAGGACAGATTCAGAACTAATGGGGGTGAGGGGCTGCTCAGGGTTCCAGCCCAGCCCCCATGCGTCTTCCATGAGGATAGGGGTGGGGTTTAGAGGGTGAGGGGTACTTAAACATCTGACTGATCCATTTCACGTCAAATGGAATGAAAACAATGGACAATGAGAGGTGCAGCAGCTGCCAGGTGGAACCCTGTCAGATGTCCTCAGCATCACCTCATAAATCATCCTGGGTTCTCCTGCCCCTGTGAGAGATCCTGTTTCTTTCCCCATTTTATAGCTGAAGGAGACCTCCTAAAGTTCGACGAGGTTGAAGGCAATTCCCCAGAACCCAGGCCATGTCACACAAGCTAGACTGGAGGGAAGAGTGGGGGTAAGATAGGGAGCAAGGGGGTGCTCACCAGGATAAAATCACCAAGAATCTCAGCTATGGGAACTCTGCTGCTACCCGCAGTGACCACGCAGTGACCATTTGGGCAGTTGGCTATGTCGTCTCATCTGGGGAAGGAGCTCCAGACCCTGCATTAGGGCTGGGGAGGACGCATTCAGCATGAGAGGTTGTTGAATTTCTGGCAAAGTTCAGACCTACTTCATATTAAAACTGGTATAACAGGTTGGTGTGAAAGAGCTGCCCAGGCCTGCACTGGCTCCACACTCCTGGAGGAAGAGGGCCTTTGTAAGGTACCCAGAGTCCTCTGACTCTCCTGGTCAGCCCTATTTTGGTACTCTCGTCCCTCCACTTCACTGTGGGCAGCTAAGCAGGTTGAGAGAGTTCTCATCTATGCCAGGAGCCTACCAAGCTGGCTCCATACAGCCTCACCATTTCACCATTTCTTCAGTGGGCAGATTAAAAACTAGTCCCAGGTGCAGGACCCCCAGTGATGCAGGGGAGGTGAGGACACTCGTAGGGATGGGTAAAGCAGCCCTGCAAGAACTTCATGGCAAAGAGTGTGACCTAGTGGCACTCTGTCCCAAAGTCATTCCGGAGGGGCACTGTTGAGTCCAGGGAGACAGACGTTATCCAGGATCAACACCCAATCCTACCTCCCTGGCCTGGCAGAGTCCGCCTAGGCCCAGCTCCAGCCCTCCCCTCCTCCAGAAAGCCCTAACCCACCTCGCACCCCTCCTGCATGCCCTCACTACCCAATGGTGCCACAGCTTTTATAAGCCAGGCAGAGCAGAGCGGTGGCTATGGTGGCTACATGTACAAGATCCCAAGTCAGGGCTGGAACCCTGACTTCACTCTTCGCAAGGTGCACAGCCCTGAAAAAGCCCCTCTCTCTTAATCTTACCTCTACAGCTAAGTGGGGACAGCCTCCTCTGGCTTGAGAGGCGTCAGGGAGAACTCAGGGGCACAAACCCCACCCAGTGCCCGGGATACAGGAGTGCTTCCCTCCTCTCATCCCACTCCCCACGGCGCCCCACCCCGTCACAGCCTAGACTTCTCAAAATTCCTTTCTGACTTCCTGCCCCCAAGGCCTCCTGGGGCCATCCCCACCCAGCTCACAGGTTTGCCCCTTAGAAATGAGCATTAGGTCATCACACTTCCCTGTTAAACTCTAAAGAGGCCCGAGTGCCTCCGCCACACCAGAGTGAAAGCCATTCCCCTCTGCCGCCCTTTGCCTGTCCCTCAGCCCTGCTGGGCAGCCATGCCTGCTCCTTCCATACTTCTGATCATGCCAAGTACGTCCCTGCTTCAGAACCTTTCCCAAAGTTGTCTGCATAGCCAACTTCCGCTTTTGGCTCAGCTGTCTGGGCTTGATGCCACCATTCTCCAGAGTCTTCCCTGCCCCTCAGCTGCAACAATGTCCCCAACCTAAAGCTTCACTTGCCCTGCTCCTACCTTGCTCTCTTTACATTCCCAACATTTGTCCTGTTCACTTGTTTGTCTCTCATCCACCAGCCCAGGAACCTCCCAAGGATGGGGACCATGACCATTTTGTTCTTTGCTATGTCCCGAGATGGATTCCGGTCCACTCGGTACCCAGGAGCACATGTGTGCCAGTAAAGGACTTGAGGGGTACACAGTCACCATCTGTCCTTGCCTGTCAGTTGAACGGGGTCTCCTGCACTCACTAGACAGCTCCCCTATTTCTCTGTGGCCAGATCTGGCAGGGCATGTCAGAGTTGGCTGCATTGACCGGAGCTGTGAGATGAGGTCTCTGAGTGGGCCTCAGGCTCCATGACACACCCTCCCCTGTTCCTGCTCTAGGCTGTACCACTCACTCCCCTGACAGAAAATATGGAAAGAAAATTGAAGCAGAAACACTGTCGGGGGGCAGAAGTAGCTGGCAGCCCCTTCCCAGGTCAGACCTGATGAAAGCTTGAGATCAGCCAAGGGTGAGGGTGGATAGGACCCTGGTAGGCAGGCCAGTGACCTCAGAGCCTGTAGCAGGCAAGGAGGCAGGGATATCACACAATGTCCATCAGTAACTTGCCTGGAGGCTGTCACCCATCATGTGGCAGTCCAGGGGCAGCTGGGCACCCCAGGGTTAGCTCTGTAACTCACTTTTGTTTTGTAACATTTGTTTTAACTGGTCTTTTGCCCTCTCTGGGCCTCAGTTTCTTCATCCATGGAATCTGGGTAATATTTAGACCTACTCCCAGGTGGTGAGCACTTCATGAGGTACAAAGTTCTTGGCCAATGCCAGCACCTAGTAGGCACCTTGAGACATTTGCTTTTCTGTGACAGTAGAGTTTTTGGCGCTTCCTCTTTCCGCAGCAACTTCTTGTCTAGGTCATGGCACCAGGTAGGGATGGCTTGCCTGTGGTACCCCTCTGCAGGCCACTCGATAGGAGATGACTCAGATATCGGGATGGAGCCGAGGGTTCACCTCAGGTATTTGAGAGTCACAGCGGGATGAGATTCATGCTGAAGGAATGAGGAACCAAAGAAGCACGACATCCCTGGCAGGGCCATGGTGACCTGGAGGACACGCTGTGGGCCCTACGGCCAGCAACAGGGAAGGTGCCAAGCTAGACACCTGTTTCTGGGCACCATGCCGAGTGAAGAAAGCCCTCACTCCTTCACCCACCTCTTGCTCAATCTCACTCAATATCAGCCCCATGTTTGCCACAACTACCTCTACGTCCCTGTGTCCTGGGCCTCATAACTCCTTTTATCCCGGCCTGCCTCCTCCTTGTCATCAACATGTCTCCCCTCACACCTTCCTGCTCTCAGTCTGCCAACATTTTCATTTTTTCTGAGGACTAAGAAAAAGAGGAAGGTCGGAACCATTTCCAAAATAAAGGTCAGAGGCTATGAATGAGATTCAGAGGAGCTTTTTTGTGTGGTATTAAGGCAAAGGTGCCGAAGACTTCGGGTTATAGGGACATTCCAGGAGCTGAGGTGTTCTAAAATCAGACCATGAGATAATGGAGTTTTCATTTTCATTTCATCAGAGCTCTTATACCCACTTCTGGTATGCAAGACTGTGAGTGAGAGGAGAGGTTCCCCCAACCCCAGGCATACTGGACCAGAACCTCAACAGTGTCCACCTCAGGCCTGCTTGCCGGCTTACTGGCCACTGTCCCCCACTCAACTGTCTTGCCCCTCTGCATAGAACGAGTCCTCTCTAGCTTTCCCTGCGGTCGGGAGTATGAGCTTCCCTATCATGCCCTGGGACCTTCACACTTCCTGTAACTTCTCCCTGAGAGACCCCTCCAGACTTCTCTGACCGTTGGCCTGCTCAGCTCAAAAGATGCTGTCCCAGGAGTGGGCCACAGCATCCCTCCCCTAGAATTCTCCACTTTCAATCTTTAATTGGCATCTCCTGTTTACAAAGCTCTCAGGTGTGGTGGCCCTCTGTCACTGCCCCCTCTACCTGGAAGGAGCCTGGAGGGTGACCCTGCAGGCAGTTCAACTGAATTCTACCTTTCTGCCTGCCATCTCCCAAAGCAACTGAGAGGAGAAAGACTGCTTTCTGCCCCTTCAGTCTTCAACTCTCCCAAACACAGCCTGCCAGCCACGTAAGGCAACCTGCTGGATGTAAAGCAGGGGATAATGGTAATAGTATCTAGTATCAGAGAGGACAAATGGAGGACAGAACGCAAAACAGGCCCCACTGACAGCTCCATAAACAAAAGGTACCATTTTTATTGTCATTACAGAAAAGTCAGTGGAAGAAAAAAAAGATGACCAAACTGTTTTTCTGCTATAATAATTGTTTTAGAAAGTATTATCAGATCTGCATTTCTTTCCCTCTCATGTGCAGGTAACTTCCAGGGCAGGAAGTAGGCCCAGGAGGGCTGGAGCGGCACCCTGGAATCAGCACCCTGCTTCCTGACACACACATACGCTCCCTCAAGACCTGAGCCACGCCGAGACCAGCTCTCTGCAGACAGGGCTCTGCCCTGCAGAGGTGGGCAGCAGGCTCTGCACACTTTGACTCCATATTCTTGTCCATTGGCCCATCCTCCTAAAACCGAGCTGGGGGCAGAAGAGGACACATGTAGAGGTGGGTCGGTCAGTGCCAAGACATCCAGGTCTGCCTCGGATCCAGCCACACAGCTCAGGGTGGGCGGAGCCAGAGAAGGGAGGAACCAGAGAAGCTGGGGTCTCTGAACACTCAGCGGTCAGGGCAGAGAGGTTGATCCCGAGACCAATCCGAAGAGGAATAAATAAATAAATACTGTATAAATGTGCAGTTCCCCAGCCTGACCTGCTCCCCCACCAGGGGACTGCCACGGCCAACCTCAGTTCTCTGGCTGTAATCCATCCTGAGAACGAGGCCGGCTGGAAGGAGGGGGCCTGCCCCGCCCTGTGGACTGAAAAACCAGGCTGGAAAAGTCTGTACAGTTCAGGAGGCCGGGGCAGGCCCAGCCCACAGGGTGAGACAAGGTCCCACTGTCTTCCTTTCTTCTGAAACATGGCTCACCACGTGGCACTATCGGGGAGCTGAGGGCATGGCCTCCAAATTATGACACTTCCCATTACCCTTTGCTCCCAGCCTTGTTCCTCTGGCTCTTCCTGATCCAGCTGCCAGATGCATGCAGGCACCAGGATAACTGGAGAGAGAGTGGGAGCCCAAGTACAGTTGGGGCCCGTGTCCCATCCATGGCATGGCTAGGTGGGGCAAGGTGCACGCCCGGCTGGGTCAGAGCTGGAAAGGGTACTGTCGGAGGTAGTCAGCCATGCGCGGGGGCAGTGGCAGGCAGTCCACGTCGGTCACCAGGCGGTTGATGACAAGGCGGCACAGATGCTGCAGGCTTCGGGCGCTGCTTCTGCGCACAAAGGGCTGCACCAGTTTTAGGTGCACAGCAGTGGCCACAGGGGCGGGCAGTGCTGGGTCACTGGGCACATCTTCCTTAGGGGTAGGCAGCGCTGGGGTGGGGGCAGGGTCAGGGCTGTCGCTCCGGGTGTCAGCAGCACAGGAGGCTACATAGTGCTGCACAAGGCTGACCACATCTGGGAAGGCCAGGATGCGCGGTCTGGACAGGCAGTTGGAGTCCAGGCGGAAGCTGGAGTCGGCATACTCAATGCGCACGTTGGTGGGACCACGGGTGGTTTTGACTGACAACGTGAACAGATAGCTGGGGTGGGTGCTGTCACGGACTAGGAATGTGCCTTCTGGCATCTTCTGCAGGTGTTGCCGGGCCTCGCTGGCCGTAATGGAACCCCAGTACCAGCCTAGGTAAGTGGAGAGGAGGCCGAGAGACCAGTCACAATAGAAATTAACCAATCCAGGGCAGGGCGGGGCTGTGCCTCCTCTTTCACACTTCCCTTGGGGAGCCTCCCTCATCAGATTCTCCTAGGCAGGACCGTGCCTCTCTAATCAGAATCAACAGGCAGCTATGCTTCCCCAGCAGACTTCCCAGGGCAAGGCCTGCCTCCCTCCTCAGACTCACCAGATTCTCGAAGGTAGGAAAAGGTCTTGGCTATGCACAGCAGATCCTCTTCGGGGTCCAGTTCCTTGGGTTCACTCTCTGGCCTGCTTGGAGCCTCCTCTACTACTTCGCCCAGCAAGGCCCCGGCAGGTAAGGGCTGCATAGCTGGCTCACGCAGTTCCAGGGACTGGGCCCACAGGGGCCGCTGCCCAATCTGCTCCACAGCCAGCAAAGAACAAGGTCTAGAGGGAAATGGACAGAAAGTGAATAGAGGCCCTGTGCGTTCCCTTTTTCCAGGTTCTCTATACTCTAGACTGGCTAGTCTACTTCACGATGAACCTCAGTTTCCCTTCTGCCCACCCACGGGCAATGAGACCACTACCCCAGCCTCTGCCTGTCATCACAAAAGGCCCCTTGATTACTTCCATTTGGGTCCTCTTTATATATATATATATATATATATATATATTAGTTTATTTTTACATCATTTTATACATTTTTTTTTCATCTCAATCGTAATCCCATCACCAAGTCACCCATGTGCCATCACCATAGTCCCGTGCACTTCCCTCCCCCCCCCCCCTGTTTTTGATCCCATTCCCCACCCCACCCCCACAAAATGTCTCTGGTATATGGCTGTTCATTATTCTTATTATTTTCTCACCTGGGCCATTATACTCCTGCTATGAACGAAACCATCCGGTATTTTTCTTTCTCTTTCTGGCTGATCTCACTAAGCATGATCTTTTCCAGCTCCATCCAAATGGGTCCTCTTTTTAAAGAGACTTCTTTATCCTCCTGTATTTATTTATTTTATTTTTTCTCACATTTAAAAAATTATTTTTTACATCATTCTTCATTTTTGTACAATGTACACTTTTTCACCTTGGTTGTAACCCCTGGGGTGGTCCCACCACCAGTTCACCCATGTGCCATCCCCATAGTCCTGTGGGTTCTTCCCATGCCTGTTTTGATCCTATTCCCCTCCCCTCCCCCCACCCCATAGAATGTCTCTGGTTTATCCTCCTGTATTTATTAATCAGTAATTATTCTTTCTCTTTTTTATACCAGTCGAAACCACAGATCATTCCCTACTGACATTTCTACTTCACAGTAGTTATTTGGTGCCCCACCACACTGATAAGATCCACTTACATCAGTGCCCTCCTGGCTGAGTGATTAAGTGGCACCGGTTCTGGTTGAGCCAGAACACTGGCCACACTGGAATAGGCCTGTCTCGTCCTCCAGAGAGGCACCAAGATTATGGTAGGCTCAAGGTCATGTTACCTCTCAAGAGACAGAAGCATCTGTTGGGGAAACTGGATCCCCACTGGCCAGGTCTTATAGACTCGAACAATCTTCCCAAACAGGTCAGTCTCCCATCCTGTTCTCTGCCCCGCTAGCTGAGGTGTGGACAGTGGTGTCTAAAAGCACTGACAAGTTCCACCTCCCATAAATACAAGCTCCCACAGAAGAGCAGGGTCCTCATCAGCATTCCAGATCCCACCCTAGCAAACCAGCCCTACTATGCCGTATGATATTATACAAATCTTGCTGTTTACCAGGCCTCAGCCTCCCTGCCGTCAATGGAGTGGTCCTGCCAGCTCAGATACTGAGGAGTTCAGCCATATTATCAGCTGAGTAGTGTTAGTTGCTAAATGGCCCCAATCTCAGCCAGTTTTCCTCTAGACAAAGCCCACCCATTATGGTAATCGCGGTGCTTCTGGGAGCGGGAAGGGGGGCAGTGTATGACCCTGGTTCCCAAGAAAAAGACCACAGAGGTAAATGTTCATTCAGCCCTCACACAATACATTTCAGGCCTCAGTTCTGACTCTGCCCCTTGTTAGAACTCAGGAAACCATGGGCCTTGCCCACAAAGAGTACTTACAACCCAAAGCAAAGAGTATCATGGGGGAGTCAGCAACTGCCTGGTCATGCACAGAAGCTGTCAGGTTAAGGGAAGGAATTGGGAGAAGCCATTCCAGGCAGGATGACAGTGTGGGCAAACAGTGCTGGGTATTGCTTATGAGGCAAAGAGATGGTAGGAGCCAGGTCTGACAGTATAGGTTATAGGTGACCTTTAGAAGATTTTGACAAGATTTTGACGGGGCCCACTCAGAAGAGGCCACAAGACCCTGGCATACTTGAGCCTGCTCATTATTTTCTCATACCAACATTTGCTCAAGCATTTTGAAAGCTCTGGAATCTGACTCAGGGAGTTAAAGGCCATAGCTTTTAGGAACTGGCTGGTGAACTGCCTGTGAGAGCCCAGAGCTCAATTCAGGCCCAGGAAAATTCCAGCCTAAGACCAAAGCTTCTGAGGGTTCAAACAACTTAGCGGGACACATGTGGGCATGGCACCTCTTTGGCTGACATGGTGTCTGGGTATGTGGATGGCTATCTGGGTCCCCACAAGCTCCAGTTGAGAGACTGTGTATATGGAGAGGGGTGTGCCCACAGCTATGTCATCACCATGGCGGGCGTGGAGGCTGGTGTTTCAGACGTGGGTAGCCTTGTGGTGTGTGCCTGCTGTGGAACCCACTGTGTGATCCCACCTGGAACACATGCCAGTTGGGGAGAATTCAGCCTGGGGTGATGGGGAGGTAGAGGTCCCCTCCACAAAGCTCATAGCCTAAACCTACAACTGAGAATCCTGGTCTGTGGCTTTGTATGTACGAAGGTCTTAAATAATCTTGCTTCTTGACACCCAACACTAGCCCTGAAGTTCCAAGGGGGGTCTTCAAAGGGAAAGAGAATGGGCTTCCAGAATTTGGGGTGAGTTCTAAGGTGGACGGCAGTTGGAAGGGGGTGTTCAAGAGTCAAAATTCAGCGGAGGAAGATGCTAGAGACAATCAGAGACATACAGGAGTATAATCATTCTAGCACTTCCAGGTCTCTTCCTTGCTCAGAGCAAGGGACACTTTGAGGCTGGCCCCACCTTCCACCCTTCCTCACTTGGTACCATGCCAGTTTCGATAAGAGCAGTCTCTGGGCCGCCCAGCTCTGCCTGGGTGTGGAAAATCCACTTCAGCTCTTTTTTCTCTCCCTAGAGTTTTCTGAGCTCCTATCAGATCTGTCTGGAAAGCACCAGACTTGGTTGAAGGGGATGCTGAGGCTATCAGTCAAAGGGAGTGTGCCAAGAATGCTCAGCTGAGGTCAAGGCTCTGTCTTATTAGCCCCCACCCACCATGGCCAGTGTTTAGGAAACTTGGAAAAGGGAGGCAGGAGACAAGATCCTCCCCGTCATTGCAAACCAGCCTGTGCTGAGAGGAGGGGTAAAGAGATTGTGGAGGTGCTCCAGGCAGTGCTAGATCAAACCCAGGCTCTCCCAAGAGCTGCTTGGGAAGAAGTGGAGAACTCAGACAGTCTTCCCAAGAAGCCCCATCGGTGATAGCAGGCGCGGAAGACAGGACACTGCAGGGGCTAGTCCAAGGTCATCAGTAGATCATATTGCCGGCAGCCTAGGTTACAGCATTATGGGACAGAAGGGGGTCTAGGCAAGTGAACCATGATTTGGAGGGCCCACTCCCCAAGACATGCTGCTGTGGGTGTCTGTCAGCCCCAATCCGAGCCACGGCTTAGCCTAACAGTGCTCCTTATGTCGCCTGCCTACTCCCAGTTTTCCTACCAAGGTCCTTCCGCGCTCGGTCACCTCAGGTCTGTTAAGTCCTCTCAATAACAGGCGGCTAGCACCAGGCGGCTACTCTCCCGAGTGCGGGGCGCAGAGGCTGGGTGGGGACCGAGAGTCGTGCTTACCCCTGAACGCAAAGGACCATGTCCCGGCAGCGGCAGCGGCAGCGGCAGCTCGGGAGTTGGGGCTCGACGGGACCGCGGAGGCTGCAGGGAGCCAGTGGGCGCAGATCGCGCTCGAGGACAGACTCCCGGGGCGCACGGTCGGCTGGCAGGGACTGAGAAGCCGCAGCGCGGGCGGACTGGAAGGGCGCAGGGGGCGGGCCGGGAGGGCGGGGCAAGCGTCCTAATCTTTTGTCCTCTGTGTCCCAGCCCTTCCAGGAAGCAACGTCTTCCTAGAACCGCAGGCTGTGCGGCAGCACCCGCGAGGGGCGGGCGGGGGCAGCGACTCCGAAGTCTGGGGCTGTGGGCCACTTAAGGAAACGCCTTTGATAGATTTCCAAGAACTTTCCAGGAAAATAGGGCGGGGCCCAGCGCGCCGACCAATCGCAGATAAGGAGGCGGAGTCCAGGGGCCTAGGCGGGCCAATTGCAGCACAAGGATACAAAGCTGACGTAACCAGAAGGGGTGGTGCTTGTTCAAGAGACCAGTAGGGAAATATCGGGTTGGAGAAGATCGGGGAAGGGCTGGGGCTCTACCCACCCCGGTTCAAACTTCCTTCCGGCACGCCTCTTCGTTAGGAACAGTCCCCCAATTTGTCCATAGACCTGGTGCCGCGCGAGGGCGGGGACACGCGTCTGTTCTTCTGGTTAGCTTTTACTCCGAGGCGGCCTGTCTGGTGTGCCAGTGACTGCCCTGTGGGCCGCCCTTGGTCGCCCCGGGCTCGCTTAAGAGTGGAGGTGGTGGCATGGGGTGGGTTAGGGTGCGGTGGGGTTTGGGGAGATTTGTTAGAAGAGGGAAGGGGTGTAGAGGGACGCCCTAGATTCCAACAAGACTCTGAGGGTTAAGTGTGCAGCCCACCACAGCCAGAATGATCCAGGTGGGAATGTTTTCTCTGAAAGAGTTGGGGGTGAAAGCACATCTCAAGCTTTAGCCCCTGTCAGGGTCATTCCAAGGTGACCTTTGGCCAGCTCACCAATCAAGGAAGAAGTGATTACCAACTTGGGGAGGCAGAGTAAGGTGATAGCCCCCAACTAACCCCACAGGATAGTCTACGGTGTCTCTGGGTTAGTGAGCGTCCCAAGAATGCAGGAGAGAGACCCAGAGATAAATAGGAAAATAAAAATAGGAAGACAGGGCAGTAGTATGCCTTCTTATCTACATGGAACACTTACTAGATATTGTCCCCATTACACAGAAAAGAAAACTGAGTCCCAGGGAACAAATTTCCTTGCCATGAAATAGCAGGACCAGAATTTGATCCCGAGAGTCAGAAGCTTAAACTTCAACCCTTTCTCTACCTTTCCCCAGCTCACTGGACACACCAGGGAGTATCTTGAAAGACGAAAGGGGTTGTGCACACCTCCTCCTTGGGTTAGAATGAGGGGTGTGTGTGTGAAGGGAGGGGCTTGGAGAGGTAGCAGGGTCCACTCCCCCCCTACACCTGAGGAGAGTTGACAGACACCTGGCTTTTCCCAGGGCAGACAGAAATGAATTTCTTCTGCCCAGGAGTGGGGTGGAAGATGGGACCCAAAAGCAAAACCCTTAAAAAAAAATTGCTAAGATGAAAAAATGACTTCAGGGGACCCATTTATCTGTAAATTTCCTAAAGGGAAATTGAGCTTCAGGGTAGCCCTGCCAAGCCCTCCTGAGTAGATCAGAAACTGTTTTTTTTTTTGAGATGAAGGTGGCTGTGACCTCAATATTCACTTTGGTTACTAGGGTACCTGAAGAACTCAGCTTCAAGCATAGAATGCTGTCCTTCTAACAAGAATTGTCTATCGCCCTATTACTATGAAGACAAAAGGGCTTAGCTGCCCAGCAACAGAGCTAGGATTGGAGCCTGTGTGTCTGTGGATTCAAATCCTAAACTGTCCAATCAAAAGAGATAAACTCATGCCATTTGCAGCAACATGGGAGGAGCTGGAGGGGATTATGCTCGGTGAAATAATTCAGAAGGAAAGAGAAAAATATCGGATGCTCTCATTTGTAGGAGGAAATAGAGAAACCAAATAAGGCATAAGGGGAAAAAAGACAAAATTAGCAGGCAAACTATAAATCAGAGACATTCAGCTGGGGAGGTGGAGGGACAGGGATCAAAATAGGAGGGAAGTGCACAACAGACTGAGGCGATGGTTTACGGTTGTCCTGGTGGTGGTCACTTTATGGGAATTACACCTGAGAGGAGAATGAACAAAGATGTAAAAAGTATATGAAAAAGAAAAAAAATCTCAAGCTCTCTACCTCAAGATACTACCCCTTCTCTTTAAGGATCTTACTATGTGCCAGGCACTCTCAGCAATTTAAAGTCTCATTTTGTTTTACTACCACATATCTGTGCCCGAGGAAACTAAGGAACAGAGAGGTTACAATGTACCCCAGATATCACAGATGGCAAGGGCATCTAGATTGCTATTGCTTACTCTACTTCTTTGTTTGCTAGTTTAAAGATTTATTTATGCATACAAGAACTAGGGTGCAGGCCAGAGGTGCAGTGTGGGGGTATGTGAGAAGATTCACTAGAAACAGAGTGAGGAGCAGAACAGGCAGATTGACTGAAGTACACTGCTGAGGAGAGCAGTGGGCAGGTCAGGAGAGGTCTGCTGCACCATGTGGATCACCTCCCTGGCCGGGGATTGAACTTGTGCTGCTGATAGCCTCATAGTGCTGCCCTTTAACCTGGTGCAGCACCAGCACCCTTCCTCCATTTCTTTGCTAGGACCTAAGATGTGCCACCTCTTAAACATACTTCAGGATCCAGTTTCCTCAATGAAGCTTCCCTGCTTCCAGGCCAGTCATTATCCAAGCACCACGATGGGCGTCCCCTTGAAAGTTTTATAGCTCTGTATGTAAACTATAGGGCCTCAAGGGTTTTACTCTCCAGCCACCCTTTGTGGACCTATGCATCTCACCTGAGTGCTGTTGACAGTGGTGTACTCCTGTTCTGCCCAGGTGCCTGTCCGCACCTGGTGCTGTGGGTCCTTCAGATCATCTCATCTTACCTCTCTTGTCCTGGCTGCTCCCAACCCACCACTGCTCTGACTGTTGGCCCACACTGCCACCTAGTGGCAATTCCTCTAATTTTTTCACCTGCCAGATCCTCATAAAGTCTCCCATCCAGGAATAACCCCTCCTCTGAACCCCAGGGATTGGTTCACCCAGAATAGTTACAAGGTGGGTCACAAGAATACAAATCAGGGCCCTCCGCAAGTCTGATTCATCTGGTGTTTATATTCTCTCCATGCACAGCCTCTCATCTTGAAGTATAGAGCGTGTGCGCGTGCATGCACGTGTGTGTATGCATGTGTGTTGAGTTTGAGAAGATTCTGCACACGCATATACACACAGCCAGTCACTCATTGGACCCCTGGCAAAGGCCTTGAACCCCACCCCAACAGTTATCATGGGGCAACACATGGAAAAACCTGTCACCATGAACCCACCGTTGTGCTAGCTCAACCATCTGAAAAACCAAACCTTCCCATCAATATGCAGGTGAATGCAGCAGATGGTTGTTGGATCATGAACTCTGAGAGGAAATATGCCTGCTCACTCTCCTGGGCTAAGTGAGCAGTTACAAAATATCTGATGCACTCATGTTGGGACTGTGTGCTTGAATTGGCATTGGCAGTTTATAGGTATTATAAGAGGTGAAGCAAAATCACTGCCTTTTACATTTTACATTTCTGTATGGTTTGAATTTATTATAATAAGCAATTTTACTTATGCAATTAAAATTTTCGTAAGAACAAAAATAAAATACAAATAAAACTTTTGGGGAACAATTGTAATCTACCTTGATTTTTAGAGACCACAGCATGCACTGAGATGCCCTTGGCTGGGACAAGGAGCCACACGCATTTGTCTAGCTTTCTCTTTGTGGGTGGGACCCTGCTTGTCCAAAATGAGAACTTGCACAGCTTCCGGCCCACCTGGCCCAAAAGAGTGACCTCTGGAAGGAGGATCCTTCTCCAGCCTCCAAGCAGCAGAAACCTCCAGATCGTCCTCCAAGGCTCTGAGATCTTGGATCAGATTCTCAGGTGGGTCTCAGGGCAAAAGGTGTGGGTCCCTGTGATCATCACATCAAATGTGAGTATGTATATATGCATATGTGAATGTGTGTGAGTATGTTCATATGTGTGGATATGGGTGGGAGCAGGGAGGCACATGAGAGGAGAGCTTAGTTTGAGTGTGAGAGGTGAGTTCTGGAGTTGTTCTACAGGGCTTGGGGTTGTGCTATGATAGCTACTGACTTCAGGTAGGTTTCTCGACCTGCCAGGGTTTCTCTTATCTTGCATGTCTGTGTATAGGAACATAGGATGGTTATTGTCCTCCTTCTCCAGGCCAGTCAGACATGGGATGCCCACGTAGAGCACCCACCCAGCAACTAGCCCAAAATAAGTGTTCTGTGCAAGTTGAGATTATCATCAGGTCTCCTACTTCACTGAAGTCTTCTAGCTTGAAGTTTCCCTCAAGGAGATAGGGCAGAGGCCCCTCACCCACCATCCAGCTCAGTGCCTGCACTCAGAAGGTGCTCACTCTCTAGGAGCACATTTCCATACAGAAATGTAAAATGTAAAAAGCAGTGATTTTGCTTCGCCTCTTATAATGCCCATAAACTGCCAATGCCAATACAAACACACAGTCTCAACATGGGTGCATCAAATATTTTGTAACTGCTTTCAAGAGTCTGGAATGCAGCTCTATGTTAGTGTGTGTGTATGTCGGGGCATGAGGTAGGATTGGGGGTGACCTTTGCAAGGCCCCTATCAGGAAGCTAGCAGAAAAAGGGCTCCGAGTCACTTAGAGGCAGAACCAAGGCCACAATGCCTGCAGTTCTGCAAGTGACCTGTAGATGCCAGCAGAGGCCACACAGGGATCCTGCCGCAAATGGCAACTTTCCAGCTCCAGTGAGCCACCGGCTTGGGTCCCTGAGTCTTGGGCTGGGATTGCAAGGGAGAGGTTGCAGCAGTGTGGGTTTGTCTACGGACATAGCTACACCCCCTGGGGTTCTAAATAAGTTGTTTCCTCACAGGGGACCTCAGTTTCCTCATCTGTTAAATAAGAATTTAATCATAGTTGTGATGAATACATAGGTAATCTAAGATGGACCCAGAGACCTAATGTGGAAGGGAAAACCACAAAGTTAGTAGATAATATCTGGCAAGGAAGTATGGAGGGGAGACTTAAAACATGATACCAAATGAAAACTTGATGGATCTGACCCAAAGGGAATTTAGGATTTCTGGAGAAAGATGCTGTATGCCAAGAAGAAAAGCAAGCCAAGGCTATAACCAGGGGATGCACAGAAGGCTAGAGAAGCCTGGAGCCTCCAGGGACTAGAGATGTGAATGACAAAGAGATGCCACTTCACTCCTCAAGCCTTGCAAGCCACTCCGGAGGGTTCAGAAAACACTCGAACTCAAGTGTCTCCGTGAGGCTCCAAGGGAAACGAGGCTTCCGGCCTCTGACTTCCTAGGTCGCTGGGAAAATCCGGTGACCGCTCAGCCCACACCCAACCTGCGGGCGCTGGCGGGAGAGCGTCGCCCGGCCGGTTGACGGGAGCGTAGGAGGTTCCCAGCTCCCCAGGAAGCCACGCCCCCTATCGCGCCTGTCCTGGGGCGGGGCCTGTGGGGGCCCGCCTGGCCCTTTAAGGCTGACCCAGCCCTGCCCAAAGTCCCGGACGCTCCGGGGGAGGGGAGCGGTCACGTGGGCCACGGGCGGCTCGACTGGGCTCTGAGCGCTCGCGGCCCGGGGCTTCCGAGACCGCTGCCCCTGCCCCTTACCGGCGCCGCCGCCAGGAGTACTGCCACCAGGTACTCCCTCATCGGGCCCTTTCCGCCCCCTGCTCCCGAGAGCTCACGGCCATTCCAAGCTGGGCCACTTTTCCTCTTAATAGGTGCCGCCCTCTGCCGCACGTCAGTGTTCTCAGGCAGTTGCCTTTCTACTGACAGCCCTGTCTGCGGCCCACTGCCTAGTTTGGCTCAGCCCCCTTCCCCCGACACGCCCCCCACTCCACCCCCCCAACCTGGGGAGAGTTGGAGAGTCTGGGTGGGACTCATTCTTCGCTTTTCACCCAGGTGGCCCTGGACGCGCCAGGCTGGGTGCACCTCTGAGCGCCCCGTGGGGGCCATGGATGAAGAGACAGCAGAGGAACAGGGGGTCCCTGCGCCCCCGCCAGATGCATCCTGCGGACCTGGCTTTCCGGGCGCTCCAGATCTCGGGGGGCGGTGGGAGCCCAAGAAGTACGCAGTGACTGATGACTACCAATTGTCCAAACAAGTGCTGGGTCTGGGTGTGAACGGCAAGGTGCTGGAGTGTTTCCACCTGCGCACTGGGCAGAAGTGTGCCCTGAAGGTCAGTGACCCTCTTTGCCACGTGGGTGCCCAGGAGGGCCCAACAGCAGCGGTCTGCGGGTTGCAAGATCTGTCCTGTGCCTCTGCTAAGCTTTTCATGTTCTGCTTCATGCTTCATCTTCATAATCCCTTATAAGGGTAGGCTCCTGGTCCTTCCTCCTTTATAGATGGGGAAACCAAGGCTTAACCTAGTTAAGCTTGCTTCCCAGGAGCAAGAGGTGGAGTCAGAATGGTTAGCGCCTGCTCTACCTGGAAGAGAAGGAGTGGCTTGCAGTCAGGCCCAAGGAAGGAGGCCCTCACTCAATTTGGCTGCCTTTCCCTGGAAGCTCTTTTGACTAGAATGGGTCTTTCTTTACACCTGAAGATGAGTGTCTGGACTTGGACTGGAGCTACTTTCTCCTTGGTTCCTTCCTATATGGGCTGGAATGTTGGGAGCCTTGCTGGATGGTGGGCGAGGCTGATCCATCTTACCCACGGAACAGGAGGCTGCTGCTGGCTCTGAGTCTCCCACCTCATGTTCAAAGTAGCAGACCCTGTTTCAGGCATCACCCTCTCTGGTTCCTGGGCAGAGAGCAGACTAGTCATATACCCCTGTCATGTCACAGGCTCCCTGGAGACCTAAACTGAAACCTTTCTAATACAGGTGGAATCCAGGGGGTTGGAGGGGGGCTGATCCAGCCACATAGTTCTGGTTTAAGCCACATAGTTCTAAGCCCAAGACCACAGCCCATATCCAGAATCCCTTGAATCTATCATTGCTGGGAACTTTACTCAGCTGCAGCTTGTACCAATGGCTACCAGAGTGGGTAGAACATGGCAAGAAGAGTGACTCTTGGAGGTTAGAGTATAACAAAGAATCTTCCCATTTTATAGAGATTGTAATTACGATCCTGAGTGTGAATTCCTACAGATACGGTTCTAATCTCTGGCCTGCGGTTGTCACCTCCATGACCTTAGACTAGACCCTAGACTCATGAGAACAGGTTCTACTCCTTTTCAGGGGGATAGATGAGGGGTTGGTGTGAACTTGGAAAAAGATGTTATTTGTACAGTAATTGGAACAAGGACTGCTGCAGGCCTGGAAAGGCTGCAGGATTTACTTAGGGCCCAGGGCCAGCAAGTATCTGAGCAGGAACCTGGGCCTTTGTCTTTCTCAAGGGCATTAGAGCTCATAGAAGAGGTTATTTACCTATGGTGGTCTCAGAGATGATCCTGAGGATGGGTACAGCAGGGGCTCAAGGCTGGGCAGGTGAGGCTCAGTCTCAGCATAGCTTCCTTACCTGCTAACCCCTTAGTGGGAGGGGAGGTCTTTTGGAGCCCCAGATAGGACAATCTGAGTCATTCAAGGAAAAGGTGGCTTTTTTGATTAGGGATAGGGGGGTGGGATAAAGGAAATAGAAGTGAGACTCATCACTTCTCCCTCAGCATCATTTTAGCTTTTTCTACTGTACTAGGTCCAGGGTGATGGGCAGCTGAAGCCAGAGACCTCTTCTTAATGCCAGTTTTTTGGCCTTGCTAGCTCTTACCAGCCCCGTGTTGCTTTAGAGGCCACGATAAAGGCAACAATGGAGTGGGAGGCCAGAGTCTGTGGGCCTGGGCAGCCCTAGCTTAAAGTAGGGCTGGGCTTAGGCCCTTCGCCATAGGTGCAGTGTCTGACAAGTGACTTGGGGGAACTGCAGATCGCAACAACTCCCGGAGCGCCTCCTCTCGAATCCAGGGCCTCAATGCCTTCTTTGTTCTAGACTGGGAACTAGTCCTAGAACAGATTCTCTACTGTTCCTCATTAGACCTTAAGGGTGAACATGGCAATGACTACTGACTTGGGACTTTCCAGACCTGGCTCTAAGAGAACAAGGATTAGATGTGGCCCCACCCCAACGCCTTCTTGTCTTTGCCCATTTCTCTGTCAGGAAGGTCAACACTTGGGGACCATAGCACATAGGTCTGGGTTCAGGTAGCTCAGCTAGTCCACTTGTTGGAGTCAGCCGTCTTTCTGCTAGCTTGCTCCCCAATTGCCCCAGGTCAGCTTAGGTAGAGGCCCTGAGTTCTCTTTCCTGACCTGCACCCTAGGTCCCCAGCTGGCCTGCCCTCATCTCGTAGCCTGGACTTGCTCAGGTCATCACTGCCCTTTTTGGTGGCCCACGCTGCCCTGGCCTTACTCCATGCCCTTCCTCTCAGTTCTCTTGCCCAAGATGGCAGATACTGCTTAGCATGAAACTGGGAATGCAGCAGACACTCATAAAACAAGAAGAGCTGCGGTCACTTGTAGCTATTGTTCCTGCAGGGGGACCCTAAAGGAGCAGTCTTCTTTTGAGGGAGCAGGCCTCTTCCTTTCCTTCAACCTCTTGCCCACCGACTTGGTCCATCTTGGCCTTGTTCACACTCAGCAGCTCCCTCCCGAGGCTGGTTCCTGCCACCTGTGGAGCCATTCCACTTTGCATTCCACCTCAGCTCTGGCTGCTGCCCCCTTGGGGGGAATTGCACTGTCTGCCAAGTATGGGGGTGCCTAACTCCCAGGCCTAACTGGCTGATTGACACCCTTCAGCTTCATTCAAACTGGACACCTATAGACCTGTCTCCTACCAGTCACCCCACCCTTATGGGGGGGGGGATGGTGTAGCAAAGGCCAGGATCCCCTCCCCTCATGTCTGCCGTCAGCACACTTGTGACCCTAGGCTCACTGGCAGGCAGACATGACCATGGCACTTAGATAAATAAAAACAATAAAAGCCTTAAGGAGATGGGAGTGTTTTGCATGTGGCTGGAGAGGTAGTTGTCTTTCTCCCCTGCTCTCTGGACTTCAGAGACTGAGGGTCCTTCCCCCTGACCCCGGGCTCCCAGTGGCTCCTTTTCTTTTTAGTCAAGGCACGGGAACTGGTAGGGTACTGTATCCATGCCCAGGAGATTCCTGCTTTGCTGTCTGGGCAGGGCTGGCCTGTCAGAGCTGGTGCTGTGAGCTGGCTTTGAAGTTGGGTGGGGCCACCATGTAGGCCAGGGACTTTCTCATTTGGCAATGGCCATCCCCTCACTCCTCTCCAGACCTGTCAGATGATCCTCTAGAAAATGCATTGTGGAGTTTGCAGAGTGGGTTATTTTGAGAGGTTTCACACCCTGGCCAGCTGGCCTTGCTCACAGCTTTAGAAGCTGTCTTCCTGGCCTACTGTCAGGATCCCCTCTGCTGGGACTTCCAGTTTCTTTTCCCATCTCACCCAGAAACATAGCAGCTCTCCAGGCTGTGAGCCCTGGTGTTACGGATTCTAATACTCTCATAAGTCGCTAGCTCTCTGGCAGGTCCTGTCCGCAGCACACAGCGTGAGCAGTCTTACCTCACTGCTGTTACTGTGCAAACGCTGATGTTCAGAAAGTCTCAAATGAGACTTGCCCAAGGTGCATAACCAGGGCCCCATGGAAGGGCTAGAATATGAACCTGGGCGGTTTGATGCCTGAGTCTTAGTCCTCATGCCTCATGCAAATCCTTGGAGTTGTGAGAGGGTCTTTAGACTTGGTCTCTGGAAGGATATTGGCGTTGTCAGGCCTCGAGTGAAACTGCTGCTGTTTGCTCCCTCTGCCCCGCTCGCCTCACTGTACACGAGTCTATTCCTGTGGACAGACGGGAGGTGCCACTAGGCCAGCACACAAGGACTGTGATGACTGTGGGGCCACCTCAGAAAAGTTGTGTGGTTTGCCCCAAGCCTTTGACCCTCAGAAAAGCCCAATCTAGCTGAATCCAGAGTCCACAGGCAGGAAGTCAGGCTGGCAAGTAGGCAAGAAGAAACTGTATCTGGGTTGGGGCAGGGGAAGCTTCCTGACAGAGACTGGCAGTTTTGATCCCATCCTCTAGGCTGAAGGATGTGGAGGACGAAGGAGAGCAGAGGGTGGGTGTGGCCAGCTGGTGTGGAGAGCTCAGACTTGCTTTGGAGCATGACTTCCTGACTCACAGGCCCTGGCTGATCTCAGTGGGGCCCTGGCTGATCTCAGTGAGGTCGTGGCTGATCACGGTGGGGCCCTGGCTGATCTCGGTGAGGCCCTGGCTGATCCCGTGGAGCCCTGGCTGATCCCGGTGGGGCCCTGGCTGATCTCAGTGGGGCTGGTGCCCAGACCCGGACAAATGCTAGAAGACCATGGAGAGATGGGAGGATTCTGGAGGAAGAGACCTTTGTGGAGGGCATTGAAGGACAAGGAGAAAAAAAAAATCAATGGTGACTCTCCTCTGTTTGCCCACAGCTAAGATTTATACGTCACCCCAGAAGCCTCCATCTATCTTCCATACCTTCTCTCACTAGGTGGGCAAAAATTCTCCCTCCTTCCCCCAGAGCTTTCTTTCATGGCATCACCAGGGCCCCATGGATCACTATTGTTGGGGGTGTTGTGGGCTTCTAGGATCCCTGGGCTGTCATTATTCAGTTCAGGCTGTGGGGGAAGGGTCTAGTCTCCATGACAACCGAGTTCTGTTGTATCTCTGCTGAGGTTTGCACTGGAAAAGATGTTTTCCTACTTGGCTCCCTCATCTTCCTCTCCAGGGCTTCCGTGGGCTAGCACCCTTTAGAGCAGCTCTGGCTCTGCAGCCCCCAGGCCTCCCTTGCTCCCAGCCTGTCGACTGGCTGCCGTGTGTCTGAAGGTGATGGCCACCAGACAAGGACTGAATATGGCAGTCATCCCGAGGCCAGGGGCATTCCCAGCACACCTGTGCCATCAGGGTAAGGGTGCTGTGGGTAGCAAGGTCTTCCTGGGTGGGTGAGCCCGCTCCTTTCGGGGCAGTGAGACCATGGCTCCCACGACTCCCATGTATTCCCAGGAGAACACTGGTTCTACTGCTGTTGCTTCCATTTGTTCTATGAAATGTTCCTGCTTCTCTGCAGGTGACCTTGGACAAAAGGCAGTTTCAGAATTTTTTGCAAAACCATTGTTATTGCAGTGTGTTTTGAGCTCTGGGTTTGAACATATGATGGGGGGCGATTCAGCTTTGGTGGCCATAATTATTGCTATGTTCCTGCTCTGAGG